AATAAAGACGTAGAAGAAGAAAAAAGAGGCAAAAGACAACACGAAAAGAGACAATAACGTGGAGCCATTCAGAAGAAAAAAGTGCCAAATCCAATAGAAACCCTGATTTCTAAAGACACTCAAGTCTTCATTAATATACACATATTTAGTGTACAATTATACATATGAATCACAAAAGTCCTAAAAGAACACGCAAAAGTTGAATTACAAGGGTGCAATTCACGAAGATAGAACAGCACCCTCAACCCATCATTGACAAAATGCTCAGACATACATGCATGCATGCTCAAAGTCTCCTTTTTCACTTTTTCTCTCTCCTCTCCTTTCCTGATCAGCTTTGAAGAAAACAAAAACGAAGCCAAGCTTCAACGATTGTGAAGAGGGTCTGAGACATTTGGGACTCTCCTTTTGCTTGTAAAGAACACGTCCAAAGAGTGCTTCACTCTCTGCTTTTGCTGAAATCGTTGCCCTTCTTGTTGTTCCTGCTGCTGCTGCTGCTTTGTTTCTGGTTCATTTTGTTTCTTTTCTTGCAGTTCTGATACTAACTTCTTGTGCATGTCAACCACCAATGAGTCCTCGCCGGAGATCAGCAATGAGAGAAAAATTAACACCATTAACTTCTGCAACAACCCAACTTTTACAGACTGCTGAATTTGCATTCTTCTGGAGAGAGAGAGAGTGTGTGTGTGTGTGTTATGCAATGGAAACGCCAGAAAATGAGATAGGTTTTGGGGGTCCAGTTATAGAGAGAGAGGAGGGAAGAGAAGGAGGAAAGCTAAATGGCTTTGTTAGGCAAATGTAAAACTGGAGAAAGGGAGAGAAAAAGGGCAGGTAGTGTTATTGAGTACACAGCCTGCAAATAAGGGACACAGTTCACGAAGGAACTTTTTTTCTTTACTTTATATATTCTTTATGCTACAAGAGAACTTTTCTTTCTGAAATATGATCACTCCAAGTTCATTTTAATTTTAGGTGTAATAGGGTATGCAGATCTTGGCTTTTGTGCTTTATCTTTGTCTGGGTACTGTTTGCTGCTTTGGAAAATAGTCAATTTTACTTTTTATAGCTGCAGAAAAATGTTCTCTGGTTTACGCCTCAAAAAGTGTGAAGAAAAAACAGAGATTTGTACGAGCTATCTTGTTGATGTTTACAAGAGGTCTTTGATTCTTCTGTATAAAGCTACTGAGCTCCATTTACAGTACCAAAACGTAAATTTTGTGATAACTTATTTTTACTTTTCATTTAATAAAAAATATCTTATAAGAAAAAAAAATTTATTATTATAGCTTTATTATTTTTTAACCAATGATTATAAATCATTAAAACCAAAATCAACTATTCAAAAGACACTTTACGGTTTGGTTACATTTTGAGCTGAAGACGTACCACTTATTCAATACTAATAATTTATTAAATCAAAATTTTAAATTTATTTAACATTTTTCTTTTTGGTATGATCGATCTGAAAATGAAGTTCCTTTTCTGAGTGGTCGATTTTTGAGTAAGGCATTACAGACGGTCCTTCCTGATGGAGTGTCGTATTATGGCTCTGAGATTCAAGTGTACTACAAACATGGTTGATCCGATCCAGGGGTCATATGGCCAGTGTCTTAAATGTGCTTCCATGACCAATGGACAGTGGTATCTTGACAGCACAATTATTAGAAATTGTCCAGCCATCGAATTGAATTGATAAAAGAAATCGGAATAATAGTTCGCTCGTTTAATTGTTGGATTAAATGATCGGATTTTTTGTATAATAAAAAAATAAGAAATATTATTAATAATAATGACTATATTAAAATTTTGAATAGGTACATAAAAAAATATTTTTATGCTATAATGAATCAAATAAGAAATTAAGAACACAAAAAAAAAAAAATCACTTCCTTTCTTAGACAAATTTATAAAATTTGATAGAATATTAACAATCCACACAGCATTATTCCCTCATGAAACGAGCTTCTCATGAAACCACTTCCTCATGAAAACTGATCACTGCTAGACTTGGAAGACAAGAACATAGGAATGGTGAAGACAAGATGAAACTAATCAGCCTCCACATCGCAACTCCCTAATGATGATGTCTGTTCGCGCAACAACAACATATACACAGACAAATCATAGGCAGAGAGAGAGAGAGAAGACTCAAGAGGAGAGGATAGATCGAGATTTTAGTAGGTGTTGACATTGAATGGACCGGAGGCAGCAATCGAACGGACTGGAGAAAGAGAGGAAGAAGTGGTGTGGAGAAAAAGAAGGAGACGTACTGGATTAGGGCAAAATTATGGATTTTGGGGCTTTTTATAAAAATGGCAATAGAACCGGCCGGTTTGACAAAGTCATCCAATTCACGGTTTTTGTAACAAATTGGCTGATTTGACGATTTTACTCTAGTTTAACTGTTTAAGCGATCCAATTCAAGAACTAGACCAGTTGAGATCTCGGTTCACAGTTCAATCAATCGAACCGATTGATCTAGTTTGGTTCTGATAATATCACTTGATAGTATCTTTGACCTATACCCTTCCATTCATGGCCTTGACTATAATATCAAAAAAATAATTTTAATATCGTACTTCTAATGAGTGTTTTTAAGTTGTTGGGTGGCACGAGAGAAGAATAAACAACATACAAATGTAAACTCTTATAAACATAAACATCCAATAATGTTATGCTTATCAAATTTTTTATCAAATTTTTCATACCAATTGATATGACACAATCAATGATCAATTCTTTGTTTCGGTGCATAGTTTCGATCACCTAAAAAATAGAAACATTTCAACGTGTTTCGAAAACGTTTCAACTCGTTTCAAAAATAGAATGAGAAAAAATAAAAAATTTTAAGTATTATGTTTTCAAAATATTTGTCGAAATATACTAAAATATCTTGAAATACCTTGAAATATTATGAAATTATTGTGCAAATGCATTAAAATAAAACAAAATATTTTGAAAGATTATGGAACACTTCGAAGACTTAAAATTTCGATTTCATCATGTTTCTTTAGAAATAAAAACGTTTTGGATGTTTTGACCATTTAGAAACGATATTTTGATCCGTAAACATAATATTTATCATTGAATATTAATGAGAGTTATTTATTTGATGGTGAAAACTATCTCACATCACTTGAGATAAAAAATTTAATAAAAATTTTGGTCAACATAACATTATTATGCTTGCCCCTCTGTAACTAGAGCTCTATTGGTCCGGTTGTTGAGAAATAATTCCTCTCTAAATAAAACAAAACGTAAAAATGAAAAAAGCAGACATATTTTTTCCTTGAAAACACAAGTTTTCCATTAAAATCTACATCCATCTTTATGGCCACCAGCACTAGTGAAATTCTTCCAAAATCCACTAAGTCGAGTTGTCTTCTTCGGATATTAATGGACTTTTGATTCAATGATATTCTTTATCTTATAAAAATTTTATCTTCTTAAAATTAATGGTTTTAAGTCTCTCACCCCTTCAGTCCCCCCCCCCCCCCTCCAACACCCAAAAAAAAAAAATAGGGTTAATTATATAAGAAATTCTCAAAGTATGAGGTTTATCTTATTTTGGTCTCTAATATTTCAATTGCATCATTTTGTTCCTTGAAGTATTGAATATATTTCTATGTGGTCTCCCAAACAGACAATATCCAGATTACTAACTATTTTTTATTATAAACTTATCACTTAATACTTAAATATGGGCAAAGAAATAATTGGGATAACTCTTGACTAAATTTCTACTCAAATTTGGTCAAAAAACTATCCAAATTCTACATTTTTTATCATGACCTATCCAAATTTTGGTCAAAGAACTACCCATATTACAAATTTTTGGTTGAGAGTTACCCAAATTATTTTTTGCCAATATTTATTTATCACATGACAAATTTATAATAAAAAAACTATTAAACTAAATTATTGAGAATCAAAATGAGAAGAAATCCTATACTTTAGGGACTTATAGTACAATTAACCTAAAAAAATAATGTGTCAAGTGACAGAATTTCGACATCCCTTAAATTGTATCTTTTTTTCTTTTTCTTTTTTAAAAAGAAAAAGTTTATTGATATCCATAAAAATTATAAAATTTTAGGAAAAATTATCTTTGTCCCCCAAAACAGAAATACATGCTTCTTACAGAAAAATTCCTCAATAAAATCAGAATAAAAAAATGAAAAAAAAATTCTTTCGAAGAATTCGTATGTAACGCTGATCTTGCAGCAGAACAAGGAATTACTGGTAGAGATTTGTGAATGTGTGTGGGTGAGCATTTGACTATGTGAGGGTGAATATTTGTCGCGAGTGTTGATGTGTGTATGTGATTCTTAAGAGAGAACAACGTAGGCTCTTTGTTGATGTCTATTCCATGTGTTACTATTCTTATGCCTCTTTTTATTTGTCGTTGTCATTTTTTTGCTATGATGCAATCGATTAAACATTCAATTTTTCAAGTACGTAATTCATTGCGGATATCACCAAGAGTTGGCTGCATGACAATTGGCAAAGCAAGAAGTTGGCCATTGTTAGATCTCTGATTGGGGAACTTCAAAAATGGTCTTTGATTTTGCGGAAATTAAATAAAATAATTGAAGAAAAATCTTCAAAAGCGATATACAAGCTCATGCTCAGTTGATTTAGAATTCAAAGAACTTATTTGGGTCACATATCATCTAAATCCATGGTAACAAGCAATTGTGCAATACTGTATGTATTTTAGATGAAACAACTGCCGTTCTCATCTCAGTAACAAAATCCTGTAGCAGCGCCATGCATGTTCTGTATGTGCACATCCAAGCACAAAATCGGTTTAGAAAACCAACAGCCCAAGCAAACCAAATCAGTTAGAAAATCTCTCCATCAAACAGGACTAGCCAGTGGAACACGCCAATTTTCCAGTGTAAGAATACAGTTATGCATCTTGCTTCCAAGCTTTACCCACACGGAGAATCTTCACTGATTCCTCAAAAATTGCAAATCATAAACTATTACGCGTAGTGTTATTCTTTAGCATCTTCAAAAAATGATTGTGGTATCTCTGGCAGGGAAGATAAAGTTGACACGCATTTGAACTGTTCCACAAATGGCATGAAATTCAATCAGATACTAACTTTCACAGTAAAATTAGTACTTAGTGATCATCAAATTTTGAATAACTTATACCTTATGCTGCTTGTATTTTTCTCTCACTGCCACCAAAGAGCTTCCTCTTTTACTCAATTGCAATTCATGTATAAGACAGACACAGTCCTTTAAATCAACTGGTTTATACCCTGAATATTGTTGCAGTGCTGAACTCTGTATAGGATGTAAAATTTAGCTACCATCTTCCATGTATGAAGCATATAGAAGCAACAGGGAATAATTAAAACCCAAGTACCTACCCAAGGATGCAACTTAGGTCGGAGTGTGAACCTTGAAAGGAATATAACAGATGCAGCCACCAACGAAGGTAAGAATCTTATACAGCAATAATCTAATAAACTCAACTCTGCTAGGTAGTATCCCAAGAACTCAAGTTGCAAATTAGAAGTCTGTAAAAGGCCAAAAAACATGTATTAGCACCAAATGACCAAAATGTGAGCATGTGTGTGAAAGAGAATGAGACAGGGTTAACGCTTACATTATAATCTTCTTGACCAACCGTGGTGAATCTTCTGCATACCCACAAGAGAAAAAACAACAACAATCAGCCAAATGGACCCTAAATCTTACTGCACATTACACAACCAAAAAACTAAAGCTAGGACATCGAGAGTGTTACAATACCTGAGAAATGTCTTAATTGTAGGATTTCCCATTTCAAACTTTAGAGATTTGAGTACGTCAGCTTCCATCTGCACCACCTCTTCTTTACTGTACGTATTATCAGTGATGTAACAAAAATCTTCCACATGGGGAGGGTTGATTTCTTCATACTTCCTATTCCATCAACACAACACAAAAATTCATAAGCAAAAACCCAAAAAGCATTACTCAGAAAGTAGTTTTAAAACCACATCTTGATGTTTACGAGGCAATGAGCATTGAAGTGACACCCAAAAGCTGAAGCCTTTGCCTATTAAGAACATTCATCGATAAGAATCGATCAATATAAGAAACCGTGAGGTACAGTGTGTCTGATAGAAGCTTGTATTCCGCTGCCACCTCAACCAACCAATCCACCAAAACCCCTCTCATGTTAGCACTCACATCTTTCTGAACCTTCTCGATGTAATCCGGCAATGGTCTTCTCTTTGCTTCCATCTGGATAACGAAACTAATATTTATCAAAACTCCAAACCCTAATTCTGAATACTCACTACAAAATTGAACCTAAAACTCATTAAAATCACACAGACCAATCAATCAAAGTGAACCAATACATAAAACTAACACGAGCCCATTTCTTAATTTTCAACAAATATGACAATCCCTTTACATTCAGGCCAGATTAACAAAGAACCTTATCAAACCCAAAAGCCCTAAATCTAAATATTAATTGACGAATAAAAAGTGAAGTAATTCCTAAAATTAACAGGCATCTTGTGCCTCTTTAGGCAATCCATTCATACATGAAGAGGTCTATAAATAGACTACCTTCAAACCATTTCAAGATACAAAAACAAACAGTAATTCTGCATACCATTGGATCTACTATGTCTCTTTGCATTACATTTTTGATTCAATTTGATTCAAGTACAAGACACAGAGTTGTGTTCGTTAATCTTTGGAGAGTGAAGTGTCACTTCTGCAAACCCGAAATTCATTCTATCTTGGGAGACTGTTGCATATCAACCTTAAGCACCGAGAGGGAATGAATCTATTTTAAAGAAACTCTGACTACACAAGGATCAGATTATTTTTGGATTTTGGATTCTTATTATCTTTTTGATTATTATGATTGTTATGCATTCTGCAAGTGCTCCAATTTCTATTTTGACTATACATTATGATTTATATAAATAATTTGCATAGAACAGTAAACGTAGTAGATTTAGAATTTGCAATAGTAATTAGTCCATTAATCTGATTATATATTTCTATATATGTATTTCAGATAACAACACTTTCTAAAATCTTACAAACCTTGTTAAATAATTTTCCAAGGATTGTGAAAGAAGTCCCTACTCACCACATTGGAGTCTCATCCATTGGCATGGATTCCATACTTATTTTTGATAATAGAATGCCACAAAGAATGAGGTTTCAATGGAAACCTCCAAAACCACTTGTCTTATAGTGCCAGATTTCTCTGGACTAGATTTCCTATGGACAACCCCTCCCCCCCCTTTTTGTAAGATTTTGATATCACTTCCCACCTGGTGAGATGATCTTTCTTTCTTTCCCCACTTTCCTATAGAAAATTTCTCATCATCTTTTCTTGAATCTTAACAACAGTATATTTGGTTTTACACATTGGTTGCTCAAGTACATATATACCCTTGCTGCATTGAGCAACATTCATTCAAATATCTCTACTATTGTATCTACATATCTTTTTGAACATTGCATCTAGTACATACTCTCCTTGTTCTTAATTCATTTCAGCTTACAATAAACATCTCCCATGCTTATACGCTCATTCGGAGAATCACAAGTGCAAGATAGCCCGACATCAATGATTGTTTCAGGCAATCCCACTTTGTTTATGAACTTATGGATTGATTATCATAACAAAGGTTTTCAATGTCTAAAAGTAGCTCAGAGTCCAGAACTTGCTCCACGTTGGCTAGGAAAGCCAATTGTACCCATCTCTTTAGGCTTAATCCTCCAACAAAGCTCTCATGGTTGGGCTCTTTCTAGTGAAAAGCTCTAGCAGCATAATTCCAAAGCTCTACACATCCCCTGCAGTCGATGGTTTCTCCCCTAGACCATACTCTGCACCATAAATCATATCTTGTTTAAAAATAGAATTATGAAAATTAACAATGACAAATTTTGACAAGATGTGTTTATAATAACACAACAAAAACCCCAAATGAATTTAGTGCTTTATAGTTAACTAGCTTGGACCCAAACCTGGAAATAATACGGTTTCTTAGTACAAATAATAGATGAGTGAAGTCAGTGTTAAATTTGAGAAACCTGATATTCACAAAACATATTTTCTTTTCTTTAATCTAGTATCTAATGAGTCCTTGTAGATTAGGGAATTTTTTTACTTAGTTTTGCAAGTATTTTGACCAAGTGAACTTTACCTATGAATAATTGGTTTCATTGAGAGTGAAAAAAAGTCTTAATTGTAGAGCTTTGGTTCAAGGGTTATGTGTGAACATGACTTTAACTTTACCTATAAATAATTGTTTTCATTGAGAGTGAAAAAAAGTATTAATTGTAGAGCTTTGGTTTAAAAATATGTATATTCTTATGTCTGGATACTCTTTATCTAGGGCCACTGGTTTGAGCTCCTTTATTGGTGCTCTTCTTTCCAATATGGTATCATTTCTCAGGTCGAGGACCTCCATTTGTAGGGCATCTTGTGGTTTTTTGGTCTTCATAGAGGAGACGTAGCATTCTCTTGTAGCTATCTAATCTCCTTAGACCTCTTAGACTCGGTTTGGGGTTGGAAAATAGAGGATGATATGGTAGGTGGAGGGCACAACTCTCAGGGTGTTGAGAGCAGGTCACCCTAGGATTATATTGTAGGTCGAATGACAGTTTATCACTAGGAAGTTGACCATGATTGTGGATCTCCGGGGTGCTACGCTGGTAGCGACTGGTAAGGTGATAGACCCTAGGAGCTACACCTTCTCCCCTGAGAATCCAATGAAAGGTGACCTGATAGGATGCAGTCTCTTTGCCCAAGTTGAGTTTGTCATAAGCTTCTGCGAACAAGATATTCGTAGAGCTGCCGCTGTCCACAAGAATCCTTCGTACCTGGAAGTTGGCGATGATCATGGTGAGCATCAGAGGGTCATTGTAGGGGTGTTGGATTCCTCCTAAGTCCTTATTTGATAAGGATATAACCTCGTTGTTGCCATGCTTGGGTGCCTTGGATGGGCGTAATTCGTCAGGGTGCCTAGTTTTCCTGGCATGGGCCTTTATGGCGGAGAGAGATTCTCCTCCTCCTGCGAGCCCTCCGGAGATGGTGTGAATTTCTCCGATGGGTTACTAGTCCTCTTGATTATAAGGCAGAGGCGACACCTGACCCCTACCAGCAACATACTGGTGTAGATGACCACATTGTATGAGTTCCTCAATTTGTCTCTTGAGGTCATAGCAATCATGAGTGTAGTGGTCGTGGTCGTGATCGAAGAGACAATATTTGTTCGGATTCCTACAGTTTGGGGAGATTTTATTCTCCTTGACCACTTTATTATAGGGTTATCATGGATTTGAAATAGGATGTGCCCGACAGTGGTATTGAGGGGGGATGAAGGCTTGTCAATCTCTCTAAGGAGTAAGAACAAGCCAGTCTTTGGTAGGTACCCTCTCTGTCCTGTTGCGCTTGTTGTCACTCTCCTTCTTGTCGTTCTGGTCTATTTCCTTTCTCTTTTTGCCTGTTTGAGAGGACTCACCTCGTCTGGCCCTTGTGATGTCTTCAGCATTCATATACTTTTGGGCCTTTGCTACTAGCTTTGACATGCTCTTCGATGGGCGCTTCATCACTAAGAAGAGAAAGCTTGATGACTGGAGGCCTCCGAGGAAGGCAGTCATGGTGACCTTATCATCGGGCTCCTCGACTTGAATGACCTCCTCATTAAAATGAGTGAGGTAGCTCCTTAGGCTCTCGTCTTGGTCATATTTTATGCTGAGTAGGTGGGTGACAGGCTTTTGGTGGAGGCGCCCTCCAATGAGGTGCGACACGACGGACTTGCTTAGCTCAACAAAGGAGCTAATGGAGGCTGGGGAGAGCTTGGAAAACCATTGTCTGGATGATCCCTTCTAGGTGGTTGGGAATGCCATATATATAATTTTATCAGGGATGTTGTGTAGCTGCATTAAGGTATTGTAAGTTTTAAGGTGATCCAATGGGTCATTCGTACCATCAAAGATTTTGATGGACGACATCTTGAACTTCTACGGAAGTGGGTAGTTCGCCAAGTCAGGTACAAAAGGCATGTGAATTTTCCTAATGCGGTAGTTCACCGTCTCGGGTTCTTGCCCTTTCATGGCGTTGAAGATGTCACCTAGTTGATTTTTCACCTCTTTTATTTTTTCATCACAGTGATTGGGAGCTCCTTTGGAATTATCATGGAAATGACTTTCATGCTTCACACTTTGGTTCTCACCCTCATTCTCTTGGAAATGAGGGTTTCCACCATGAGACGTGGGAGCTAGAGGAAGAGGTGGAGGCCCTTCATGGTGGGCTCCCCTGTGTGGGGGTGCCCAAGGAGGATCCCAGAGCTCTTTGACGCCTAGGGCCTGGAGCTCTTCTAGCTTGGGGTCCAACAGGTTGTGCTCCTCCTTGTCCGGCGAGCATGAGTTGCAGGATCTGCTGGTTTTGGGCCATAAGCTGTAGCATGGTCTCCAGCATCTGCTGTGCATTTGGGACAGGATTGGTTGGTGGAGAGCAACCTCTTTCTCCCATGGTGGATTATCCTCAAGTTGATTCATCGATCTAGTGGTGATCGCCATAGATTTAATAAAGAAAGTGTTTAGAAGTGAGACTTTTGTCCTTCCCACAAACGGCGCTAAACTGAAGATGCACAAATTGGGTTTGTACACCACCTATTAGATGAGCAGTAATAAATGCAATAATTAATAAGTGAGAGATAGAGACAAAAACAAGACAAGGGTTATAGTGGTTCAATCAATGTAACCTACATCCACTTTTGAATGACTAGGGTTGCCGGATATGTTATTACTTCAAGTGAGTAGGGACAGTAGAGAGTTACAGAATTAGAGAGATAGGAGAGAGTTGTGCTCGACTGAATGTGATGCCCCCCCAAGTGTTGGCAAAGCTTACAATTTATAGTCGCCTCATAAGAGATTGAGACGAGTTACTAGTAACTAAGTGACTAATCTGGTGGAGCTGACGACCTCTTCTCAATGGGCGAGGCAGTTACGGTGCTTTCTATGAGATTTGGTCAAAGGGTGACGTAGGGGTTGACCCTTTCCATGGTGGCGTGAATAAGGCTCCTGAAGGCCCTGCTTACTCCCTTGGTGAGCTTGATCGGGTGTGGACTCTTTGGGCTGGATACTTGAATTTTTGTAAGTTGGGCTCTTAATTCAAACTAGGCTTACTATGTGGGTTGAGCCCTTGAGCTTGACCCATCAAAACCCATTGATATTTATAAAAGATGAATGTTGTTGGGACCACA